CCTGCCTGCTGCTGGCTGTTGCTGGCTGCTGCTGGCTGCTGCTGGCTGCTGCTGGCTGCCTAACGCCGGCTGCTGCTGGTTGCTGCTGCCGGATGCTGCCTGCCAGACACCTACTGCTGCCTGCTGCTGGCTGCTGGCTGGTGCGGGCTGCTGCTGGCTGCTGCTGGCTGCTACCTGCTGCCTGCTGCCTGCTGCTGCCTGCTGCTAGCCTGGTAGTAAAAGTAGCAGTGCAGTACCTCTTCTTCCCTTACGCGCTCCCCCTTGCATCGGCCGGGGTCAGTGAATTATTATTATTCTTTCCTGGCAGCTGTATGCTCCCCCTTGCATCGGCCGGGGTCAGCGAATTATTATTATTCTTTCCTGGCAGCTGTGTCATAAACTCTTTTTCCCTTACGCACTCCCCCTTGCGTCTGCCGGGGTCGGCGGATTTTCATCCAATTATGAACCAATTTTCATCACTTCCTACTACACACCACCCCAGATCCCATGGAGGTGAAGCTCATCTTTGAACTGTTAGATGCAGACCACAGCGGCAAGATCGATGTGGATGAGCTGAAACGAGTGCCGCGCTAAGAGTCGAGAAGCTGTGGGGCTTCTCCAACGCTCTTGCCCGATTTTTTTTAATATCAAGTCGTGGCCATTTTGATGTGACAACTCATGATCCCTTGATCATGGGATTTACCCTTGAAGTCCTTTTTTTTCTTTGGATTTTTTTTTTTCTATCTCCAGTACAACGGCCAGAACGGGGAAGCCTTGGTCTTTTGAGGTCCTTCTGTCCCTCAGTTCCTGGGATGAGAAGCAGGTGGAGGCCTTGATTGACCAGTTCGACAAGAACAAGGACAGGTAGCAACGGATGGATAAGGCATGGGTCAACCATGGTCATGTGGTTTTCTGCGTGGCCACTTGAAGTATCTTGACGTTGGAAAACAAGCTGGCAAACCATTGAGATCCATTGAGTCTTGCAGAATGTTGAGCAAACCGCACAGTTGGGATCATTTGGTGTGGCTCAAACTTATTGACAACAATATATCTTGGCGGCTATTATATAAGTTTTGTATAGTTTTATATAAACACAAGAGATAAGCAGTTCGCTCCATCACCCCATGAATTGTGTGTCGTTTTCAAGGACGGTGAGCTGTCCATCGTGGAGTTCTGGAGCTGGGTCAATGGTCATTGATGGCAGGCCGCAATTGCATCAAGGGAACAGTTATAGAACATAAATGCCATTATATATATATCATTATATATACGTATATATCATTGTATATCCAAATACATCGATACGAATCCCATATATTTGATGAGTCGAATTTAGTTTCCACATGTTCATCATTTTCGCTTCAAGCATCCACCAAACCAGCTGTTCGTCATCGACAAACAGTACCAGGTCGACAGAGAACTACCGTCCAGCCTTGCTAGATATGGCGGTGGCCGAGAACAAACGAAAAATCTCCGAGACTGAGGACGGCCGGATATTTCGAGACATGTTCGGATGTATTTTTGGAGATCGGGATATTACATATGTGTTCGGATATCATGGGGATATTTGAAGATTTGTGTTGTAATGATAATGGGGATATATCGAGATAATGGGATATATTGAGAGTAAACAGCAATACCAAGATAGAATACATTTTTAGGAAGTCATAGAAATGGAAACGACGATCCCATTTTTGGGTCCCCTTGGGTCACGCCCCAATCATGGCTTTTCCATTGCCAGGTTTGATTGCCATTGCAGGTGTCATGGAGGATTCCAATAGCAGTATCGATTAACTAGTTTCAATACCCATAGGGTCCATGTATGGTATATATGCTAACATTTGGGGTATTGATGGTAAATGTTACCATATATAGCATACAAGGATCCTATGGGATATGTTTAGTATCTGTCCATGGAGATCATGAAATTAATTTGTGCCATGCTGATTGAAGTGAAGCCCAAAGTGATTTTTTGTTAAGAAGCTCTTGCCGCAATCGTCCCTGCCAAACCTGAGGCTTTCTCTTCTTGAACGCCATGACTCCATCCCATGCCTGTCCGTATCATCATTTCAAACGACCGTTTTTGGTTGAACCCGCCATTTCCATATCGGGGGTTCCATAAATGGAGGTACCCCAAAATGGATGGTTCGTAATGGAACATCCTCTTAAAATAGATGATTTACTGGTACCCCTATTCTAGGAAACCCCCATATGGGTTTCACGAATACAGAATCGTTTTCATTTGTGCTCATTTTGGTCAAATTTCCCAAACAGTCAATGAAAAGAACTGGTACAGGCAGTCCCTGGTAGCAGCTAATGTCGTGTTCCTCGGTATCGCTAAACACAAACTTTTGAAAACAAATAAAGTCTCAACCATCGATAGCAGTCTGGCAGCCATTGGTCTTAGCAAAGTCCCCCAAGATGAAAGTCTTCTCCACCCAGCAAACGCTGCTTTATGAGTCGCTTCCAAGATAATGAAGCGTGTACGATGTTCATTTTTGGATGATGCACATCATCTTGAATTTCCGTAAACACACCCAAAAAGACCAACATGGTTCTTAGATACCCCACACACACACACACATTCCCATTCTTTCTGGTGATTATGTTGCATAATCATTGGACCTATAGTGATATTCTGGTATAAATATTCTGGTCATTTTTCCCAAAAACTGACTCAAGAAATTCTGGATACTCCATTGATACCCTCTGGTAAATTAACATAGACCCTGAAAATCACCAATTTTTAGAGGAAACTAATCTTCCAACCCCTATCTACCAGGGTCTATGTTAATTTATGTTAATTTACTGGAGGGTATCCATTGATCTTCCTAGTGATATTCCCATGCCATGGACCGTGGCACCATGGCATCCCCTCCCAGGAGCGTTTGGCCGCCTTCCGCGACCGGAAAGCTGCCGAGGATGCCAAGGCCGCCGCCGAGGTGCACAGATGAACCCGTGAAATCCCGTGAAAAATGGAGGATTTCATGGTGATTTATGGTGATTTAATGGTGATTTATGGGGATTTATAGGGGATATAATGGGATTTACCATCTGGTTATGACTAACATGTTGGCCATAGAAATAGTTGATTTTCCCATTAAAGATGGTGATTTTCCATAGTTAAATATGGTGGAATGATTTCCAACATACCATCGAGTTATGACATTCACAGTTTGCCATGGTTTTTCGATGGCCCATATATAGAAATAGATGGTTCACCAAACAAAAAAATGGGAAATTTCTATGGCGAACTGTGAGTCATAACCAGATGGTAGCCATGGAGACATGTATGGATTGACCATGATTTCGCCATGAAACATGGTGGATTCGCCCATGAAAAAATATGGATTTCAGCGTCAAAGATGAGGGATGACAGGGATGACCCTTTGGTAGTTACAGTTTGTTATGGCCCACAAAAAAGGTGCGATGATTCAGCATTTTTTGGAATGCTGATTTTCCAGTTCGCAAACTCAAATGATTTACCAGTGAATATGTCATCATTAGGGTTTGAACATGTTGCAAACGTGTGGGTATGTTTGGGGATATACTTGACAAACGATATACAAGGTGTCACTAAACCATTACTGGGACGCTTGTTGAGTACTGGGAAAATGGGACATCCAGGTGCTTTAGCATGTTCCAAGACATTGAATAAGCCCAGCACCTGCTTTCTCCAACGACACTTAAGCTACTCGTACCCCCGTAGACGGATTTTGTGTAGACATATCCACATTGAAGATTTTACTACCCCCCCCCCCAACAATAAAGGTTTCATTTGAGGACTTACTGATATCCCGATTTTCCACAACGCCACTGTTTTTGGAGGCACAGAGACAGTTAGAACGAGAGCAAGGCTTACGTTTAAGTCGAGCGTCTTGGCTCAGCTGCACGGTGAGTTGTGGTGGGGGAAACGGTGGAACTGTCCACTTCCAGCATCGCCTAAGGATGCTTTCGTCAAAGAAAAGCCCCTTGGCAGATTGAGACCTCCAAATACTTTGAATACTTGGAAGAGGATCAAAGATTCTATCCTTTTGGTCCTTTCCAGTCTTGGGGACATGTTTGTCACATTTTGGCTATCAAGTGCTTAGGAGGGAACGGTTTGGAGCTATGGTTTGCATATGTTTGCATCCATATGCTCCATTTTTCTATGGGGGACCAAGCCTCGAAATTCTAAGGATGGAGGCGGGCTTTTCGAAAAAGGTCGCAGAAGAGCTGTACAGCAAATGTGACCAAGATCGCGATGGTCACTTCGCAGCAGAGCGATGCCCTGGTCCATAAAATGGATGGGGTCCGGATGGGGTCCAGGCAATAATCCAGGCAATTTCAGAATATATAGCATAGCTTAGCATAGCTTAGCTTGCTTCCAGATTCCATGGGCCAAAATGAGGGTGAACCATGGGCCAAAACATCATCGAATTTTAGGTCGGATCCAGACCTAGGTGAAGTGAACCATCAAGACATTGGATGGTTGGTCTCTGACACCCTGGCCACTTTGGATCAAGTGCCACCAAGCTGCAGAAGTGGCAAGTTTTTATTTCTCAAGGGCAAGTTGATATTATAACTCATATATATATATATAATAATAATATAATATATACAATATATGTACTGATATATTATTTTTATGGGGTTCATTGGATCTAGATGGATTTAGATGGTGATATGTTATTATTTGGTCGATTTTGGTTGTTTCATGACGTTCTCCGTTCGATCCCACTGTTATGCAATATTGCTACAGCACACGGTTTGCACAGCGCAACGTCAGGAAGGCAACGTACCAGAAAGGGATCCAGAGAGAGGCATCTTGGATACAGATTGCGAATCATTGCGATGGGATGGTTTTTATCATTTTTTTAATCCCATCTCCAACGACATGTTAGATATGTTAGTTCGTTAGATGTTGTTCATGTAGATTTTGTATTGTATCACATTTATAACACAACTTAAGTAACATAAGTAACTCAGCAGCTGGGATTTTGTTAACTCGGTACTCGATCCATCCCCAGGCAGAGGAAGTCAGTTGGAGTGAGGACTGGAAGGCCGAAGTCTCGAAGCTGCTGAAGAAGCGTGGCTTCAAAGAGGAGGAGGAAGGCGACCTGCTGCGGCCGGTGGCACCATGGGTTACCTGTGTCAGCTGTGTCAGCCATAGCCACCCCGTGGTTTTTTGTCAGTTTTGTTGCAGAACGCGAAGATTTGAGGTGGCGGAACTTGGGAAAAGAAGAACTGCTGGCAGAACTAGGATTACTTTTGACAACATGCGGCTCTTCAGGAAGCCATTGGATTCCATGAAAGCTTACAGCAACCAGGTCGATTGGCTGTAGAGTCCTAAAAACCGTTGCGAACCGCGCAGGTTTGAAATATCACACGACCAATGCAAGTGGAGAGGAGATTGCCATCAAGGAGATCTTGAAGGACAAAACTGCAACACTGGAGTCCAAGTACTTCCCCATCAGCCTTCATTTGGAGGCCTCCAATGTCACCGCCTCTTGTCTCAGACCGGGGCAAACATTGGGAGATTTTGTTGTCAGCAGATTGAAGCGGAAATAGAGATGTATTGCCTATATTCATCTATAATTCAGATTTAAGCAATCTAGTCAATCTATTCAAATCTATTCAATCTATTCTATATCAATCTATTATTTCAGATGGGTAATCTTGTCAACTTTATCTTAAGCTTCAGTATCCATGAGGTCGCTGACTGCGATGACAAGGGCCTGGGTCAACTGGTGGGGGGACTCAGATTCTCAACGCCAGAGGATATGGGTCAAGATGGTCAAGTCATTGGGTAGCCCTAAAACTTGGGATGCTTATGATTTTGGATTTTACGAACTCGGATTCACCAAGAAAAATGGTTGATACAATATGTTGATATCCCTATTTTGGGCATACTTACTATGGATATCTATGGATATCTACCCAATGAATCCCCATGAAATCCCATGAAACATGGGCAAATTTCGGCCAGGTTGATACCTTTTTGGCCTGGGCGGCTTGACAGCAAGATTTTCAGTGGCCAGTTGGGGCTGGCAGCATGAAAAGAACATCAAATAACTGCCGAAAAAACGATATAAGTTGATATAAGTGGCACTTGATGATGATATATTATATTATATATATAGAGTGGCACTTGATGATGATATTATATTATATATATTATATCATATTATATTATGGCACTTATGATATTCCCTTTCTGTTTTCCAATGACAAACATGTGTGGCATTTGATGATTCGTTGACCCATTAGCAGAGAACTCTCGAACACTCTGGCACCGAGGATAAGGACGGAGATGGCACCGTCTCTGCCGATGAATTGAAGGATGTCTTGCAGCACGTAAATCCCAAATTCACTGAGGCCTGGGAGGACAATGGAGGACATATGGTGACACGAACGAAGGGTTATCTGGGTTTTTTGTGGAGAATTTGACATCCCGCTGTTGTTTCGTGTTTTTTTCCCCAAAACAGCACAATATTCCATTTACTTGGTTTTAATATGGGTGTGATATGGGTGTGTGATGGTTTCTGTGATTTTCTGTGGACATGGTGTATACGGCAGAACCCCCAGGCATCATTCGGCATCATTCCACGCAACTACTGCCATGTAGGTCACGCTCGCCAAGATGATGGGTGAGATTGACGTGAATGGTGATGGTGTCATTGATGCTTGCCAGGAAGAACGAAGAAAAACGATGACCAATGAACAGCCCATCTCATCCATCTCAACATAGGACGCCAACATTTGGGTTTCCAAGGTTTTGTTTTTTAATGTTTCCAGCGCCAAGGACATCCAAGAATTTGTTTCCTGGCTCTCGGGTGAGAACCTGAAGAAGAAAAAAATGAAAAAGAAGGCCAAGGACGACCACAGAATCAGCTGATGTTGAAATCAGCAGATCGAAAGATTCGAAAGTGCTGGTTTCATGGATGTCCCATGGTGATCCAGCATTTTATCAGGGATCCCTGGAAAACATGGTCCGAGACCCCATGGCAGCCATGGTGCAACTTTCAGGAGGAGCAAGACGCGAAGATTTGCTTCACACTTCACAGACCCTGGGATGATCAATGGTCGAAGATTTGCTTCAACTTTGGATTTGGGGGACACCCAATTTAGGAAAACCTCCATTTGGTGAAATCGGATGATGATATTGGAGAGTTTTGGATGGTGGTTACTTTTAGAGCGGCTAGTTGTGAGCCAGCGGCGTGTTTGGTTTGCTGATTTTCCAAAGCGTTTTCAGTCCTGAATTGTCCCGTTTTCAGGGAAAAGATCGGACGAAGCAAAAGATCAAAAGAAGTTGGATGCTTTCATGTCAGCTATGAGTTCTGACGTCAAAGACTTTTGCATCGCGTCACTCGGCATTTGGTTCTTTTAAACATTTTAAACACCAGCTTCCATGACTTGATTTTTTCAGTATTAAAGACATACAAACCCTGCCTGTGCCAAAGCATTCTGAGGAAAAAGCTGGAGGCTGGGTCAGATGCGAACGCAAACGCATGCAAACGCGCAACGGATGATACAACTAGGACGATGCAAACTGAGCCAAAAACATCAGCATATGTACTAAATTGGTCATATATTTTAGCAAAAAAAATAGTATTGTTTGCCATCGCAGTTTTTTTTTTTAATGTTTTTTTGGTGTTCTTTATATTGTGCAATATCAACACTTTTGATCCATACCATGCCCATCAAGGTGGTGACCCCCAGTTATAAGTTGGTTTATAAACCATAGATAACCATAGTAAGTATAGATATATCCACCATAAACCATGGTCTCCAAACGATCTGCCCCAGTTCTTAGACCAGCAAACCGGGGGCCCATGGGGGCCCCCCTGCAGTTGAGCTGCGGCACGGTGAACGCCGGCTCCAACGCCAACTGTTCGGCCTGTGGTGCTCGACATTCCTGGGTTTGCCATGGCTGCTCCCTGGCTGACTTGGAACCATCCAAGTGATATCCCCATGAAACCCACCATATAAACCCATGATGATCTGATGAAAGATGATCGAAACCTGCATTTTTCATCATTTTTCATTTGCTTTGGATGTTGTTTGATGAGCTCCCCTGTTTCTGCAAAAGTGGAATCTGGACAATTTGGCTCTGTTTTGGCTGTGCATTTGCAGCAAAACTGCAAGTTCTTGCAGAAACTGGACGAGCTAAGCTGAGCAAAGCTGAGCTAAGGTGGTTTTGTCTCGTTTTTCAAAAATTGCGTCAACGACTGCGACACATCTTCTTACGGATGGCCCTCTCCTTACTTCGTGCTTCAGAGTGCTGTCAAGCTGTGATGTGCTCATCAGGCAGTTATAGTAACCCCCAAAAAGATCAAACAGGTAGAAAGTAACATCTTACAATTACAGCGGGAAATTGTTGTGAATCGAGCTTTTTTTCTGCATCCTTTTTAATGGTCACTATAGACATGATCTTTGAGCCGAGGTTCTGCATAAGTCGCTTGTCTGCAGCAGTCAAAAAGCTCCGCAGCCAGCCGACCTGTCTGACTTCATCTGGGGCAGCTATGCAGCTGAGGTGGAAAATGTCCGAAGAAAAAATGTGGATGCAAGAAAAAACCCGACTTCTGGTTCCTGGGCCGCACATCTCCAATTTTCTGATCCAGGAAGGGAGCTAAACGCTGGGCGTTTTAGTAGCCAACAGCCAAATCCCATTGGTTTCATCATGTCTTCAGATGTTCTTCATCATTCTTCGGCAAACATGCTGATTCATGCAACATCATGCAACTTTCCATTACTGTAGGATTCAGCTAAATTTAAGTGGCAATTTCCCAGCCAGTTGGTATCCAAAATGACGTCTTTCACCAGGGCAATGCAGCGCCATGGCCAGGCAACGGTCGGGCTTCACCAGCTCCATGGAGAAGGTCTCCCTGGATGTGGAGCATCTGTCGAACGCGGCGCAGCTGAACTGGGCCTCAAAAATAAAGATCTCTGTCATTTGGCATAATACAGAGATAGTAATGATAGTCAAATGACAGTAATACCATGTAATACCTAATATGATAGTATATAATCATTGGCAGTTATAATGAATGATAGTAATACCCACGTAATAGCTAATAGTAATAGCAAATATATAGAGGTAATAGTGATGGTAACAGTTTTAGTATAATAGTAACAATAAGAGTAACATTCATAATGATGAAGAGAACAATAAAGGATGTTCATGAAGAAGACTGATGACAATTGTAGATGGAGAATCCATGTTTTTTGGGTCAACCATTTGGGTGTCCACATCTTTGGGCTCGTGGGGCTAGTTATTTAAGTGGTGCTCAAAGACGACCAACACCAGGTTGGCAGCCTGAAGTTCCCAATCCCCAGCGAGATAGTTGAATCAAACGATCTACAAGTTCTACAAGCTATGTTAAATTATGTTAAATTATGTTAAATCATTATATTCTGATATTCCATGATCATCGTCTCATGATGATCATGATGTGGGTCAATCTAATTTTCTCGACGACTCGACGACTTTTCATCAGCTTGGATGGTCTCGAGGCTCGAAGTTCTTCGTGAGGCAAATCGCGGGCCAACTTTCACCAGGCCAACTATGAGCAGGGTTCTTCCAGAGGAACATTCCCTGCTCATACCCTGTTCTTTTTTAAGATTGGATCATTGCCAATATCATTGCTGCATTCGACATTGGATAGTGAAAAATTGGTTAAATACATTGTGAAATTACATTAAAGACATTTCAGTATCATTACCAATATCATTGTTCATTGCTTGCCATGAAGTGTGCTTCAAGTTCCAGCGTTGAGTTTCACCAAGATATCGACCAGCTAATGCATGCGGTGACGATTTTTTCCAGTCACACCGCTTTAGAGTTGCAGCTTATGGCGGAAAAGGGCGCTTGACTGATATGATGGTGGCCCTTTGGAGTACATCTTGAACCATTATATAAGCAGATCTATGAAACAAATACTTTCAGGACCCTCTCGACACTTTCTTGCAAAGGATTTGTGAGAAACTGTGTCACTTGTGCTGAAATTTGTCACAGTTTCTTTTCAAAGTGTGCGGGCACGGGTCCTAAAGCCGGAACAGCGCTGGAGAACACAACACACTTCGTGTGATCCCTCCGTGGTGATGTGTGGCGCCTGTATTGGATTCGCTGTCTTGGCGATGGATGCAGCATCGCACGCGTTCTATTTTACAAGAACCACAGCTTGATAAAACTAAACATGTCTTCGATAATATACTTTTTCTCTGAAAAGTAGAAAAACATGTGAGACGATTTGAATGAAATTAGCAATCAACTGGCTACTGCACAAGAAGATGATTTTCAACAGTTTTTCATTTGTGTTCTTTATCCCTTATCCGCTTTGGCAGTTGTTCCCAGCCATGGGTTCCTGCTGTGGGGTCGAGGACTGATAGGTTCTGCGTGTTGCGTTCTTGCCATGTTGTTTCACCAGGTTTTGTTTCTTGCAATGCGCGCGTACGGATGCTCACTCAATATCCATTTCTGAATATTTCTGATGCCTGACTTGGGATTGCAGGAACAGGAGGAAGAGGAGGCTTGGAAGAGGGGGCGTGGGTGATTTGTGATTTTCCCGCGGCAATGTGCATCCTATTCCAGTCAAGTGTCTCGAGAATTCGTTTTTTTTGTTGTTTGGTGGTCCGACTTTTCGGTTGCTTGATTTGGGTGCTTCCGAAGACAGTGATGATTGCCATTTTGAATCTTTGAAGTGGTTCACTGTCCCAATTGACAAAGCAGAGGGGCTCATTGCTGGGTTGGGATCCTTTAGCTGGCAACGTCTCTTGCCAGATCAATGTGGGAGTTCTGGCGGAGGAACAGCCTTTGTGCTTGGGCTTAAAGAAGTGGGCGCGGGGGACATGGTCACAGTTCTCAGCCCGTAACAAGTACAGCACAGGCGATTTTGGATCATTGGCTTCCTGTGCCGATTTCATTTTTTTTTAGTGGTATATTATTTGGCATTTATATGTGTTGCATCTTATTACATGTATTTGCTGCTTTGTTCACAGCTTCATGGAAGCATCACATGAAGACAATATCTATATATATCTATATATTATATATGAATATGATCCTTTTCATTTCATCCTTTTTCCCAGGAAACAGGTTGATTTCAGTTAGAGTTTGCAGTAGTTGCATTTTCAAAACTGAATGTTCATGTTTCCTGCGTTCCATATGTTTGGTCAGCATGACACATTTTTAGTTTTCTATTCTCTTTTCGAGCGGTTGCCATATGCTTCATGTTGTTTTTCTGAGCCTGTCTGAGTTATTACTTCTCCTTGTAACATCCGAACCCTGGGATGATGAAAACGGCATGGTTCATCTGAAGCTTGGTTTCACACGGCGTGAGGCCAGTGCCCAATCGAGGAGCGGCCCTGAAACAGGGAAATGGGCGGTGGTGTTTCATTGGGATTTGATTCAACCACCTTCTGGGTTTTGACCAGCAGGAATTCAGCTGGCACAAAGTTGGGATAATCTGGGATAATCTGCCTGAAACATCGGTGCCTTTGGTTTGTCACAAGTTCTCCTGCGAAACATCACGCGGAAAGATTTACGATAGAATTGTCAGTTGGGCACATTTTCCTAACTTAAATTCCACTTTCCACATTTCATTCCCCAACAGCGTAAGCTAATGGGGTCTTCAGCCCAAAAATAGTTCCGGTGTGCACTGGTGCAGGCGCCGGCTCAGGTTCAACGAGGTTCCAGGGAAGGTTCCGAAGGTTCCGAAGAAGGTCTGCATGGGAGGCTTTGATGAAGAGCCAGGCCACATTTAAAAGGGTTCCAGAGAAGGTTCCGGAGAAGGTCTGGGAGGCTTCAGTGCAGAGCCAGGTCATCAACAGGGTTCCCGACAAGGTTCCGGAAAAGGTTCCGGAGAAGGTCTGGGAGGCTTCGGTGCAGAGCCAGGTCAGGTTCAACAGGGTAGAGGAAAATGTTCCGGTGAATGTCTTCTAGGCTTTGGTGCAGAGCCAGGTCAGGTTCAACAGGGTTCCCGAGAAGGTTCCGAAAAAGGTTCCGGAGAAGGTCTGGGAGGCTTCGGTGCAGAGCCAGGTCGGGTTCAACAGGGTTCCGGAAAATGTTCCGGTGAATGTCTGGGAGGCTTTGGTAGAGCCAGGTCAGGCTCAACAGGCTTCCAGGGTTCCAGGAAGGTTCCGGAGAAGCTCTGGGAGGCTTTGGTGCAGAGCCAGGTCAGGTTCAAAGGGATTTGCAGCCGTTTAATTCATGGAAAACCAGCTGAGGTGTTTCCAGCGCTTGGCTTCGCAGCACGCTTCAGAAAAAATTGTAAAAATAAAACGTTGCGGCTGTTGGGGACACCGGCGCGTATTTTTTCATAAATGTTCATCATCTTTTGTCATGTGTTGCTCTCTCGGATGTAAATGTTGCCACCTCTCCAAGGCCTGCCTCATGGCTTATCTTTCGCAGCTCCTGCACCATGCTGTGTTGCTGCAGCCGTTGTAGCTGTAGCGGCTGCACCTCCCGTGACTCGTCTGGCCGCAGCAGGGCTTTGGCGCAATGGACACCGAGCACATTCTTTCTTGTAGATGTGTTACAATGTCACAAAAATGGTTTCGAAGAGATTCTAATGCTTCACCAAAGGGTCTTGCAAAGTTAAGATGCGTCCAAAACATCGGGAAGAGCCTGCAACCAGGTAACCGCCGTGGCCGCTGCTGCCACTGAGCGACGCTTGAGGCAGAAGAAGGGAGTGACTTGGAGGGACGAACCATGGCTACTTGAAATTGTTTTTGATTGGTTCCTGTGCCCTTTGTGGTCTTAACAAGTCCTCGGCTCACCTTGCCACAATGGACAGAAGTCTCCTGGCCTCCACCAGGGCTGCTGCCGGAGCTCGAGTACAAAGCGCTTTGAACGAGCAACATCACACGTTGGCAGCATCCCCAGCTGTTTGTTGATTACAATGTACATCGCAACCCCTCCCGTGTTGCACCTGTAATTGGTGCTTCCTATTCCGTACCCACTAGATCCAACTATAGTAAGTATACAATTACGATGGCTAGTCACTAGCATTCCCAATTGACAATCAGAATTTGACGAACCACCAACCATCAACCCCAACTTGCGGCTTCAACTTCATCATTGTTGCTGATCAATTGAGCCAATGTCAGATCTCAAACTCGCCATTTCTGTTCCGTCACTATTGAAACATGTTAATATCAATATATAACATATATCTAATATAATATAATATAATATAATATAATATAATATATGATATAATATATGATATAATATAATATAATATAATATAATATATTTTAATATAATATAATATAATATATGATATGATATGATATACTATAATATAATATAATATGATATGATATAATATAATATATGATATGATATGATATACTATAATATAATATAATATAATATATAATATAATATAATATAGTATAATATGATATGATATAATATAATATAATATAATATGTTATATTTTTTTTAAATTTTGAAGATAGTCTTATTTGAAGAGATACTGCCTTTGATTGAAAAATGCCTTGTATGTTCTAGGGACTTTTTGTGCAACGTGCTTCTTCCTTCCAGAAGACGTTATGAAATTGGTATGTGCTCATGATTCGAATCAAACAATGCATCTATCTATCTATCCATCCATCCATCTATCTATAAGTCTATCTTTCTATATTTCTATCAATCTTTCTATCTTTCTATCTATCGATCTATCTATGTAATCTATTTATCCAAGTATAAATCCCCATCAAAATGGTTGGTAATCACCAGTGTTGTTTGCTGTTTCAGGGTAAAATTGCTCTAGTGACACAGGAACTCCGTGCCAAACAGCCGCAGCGTCCAGCGGTGGCCTTGGGAAGTGAGGGATTTGGACGATTTTTGATGATTTTTTGTGTGGGTTGATGATTGGGAAAATGATGGTGGACTACTGGGTAGAAGGGAGTAATGGCCCTATTTTCAGACAAACCGAACGGGAGACGGCCCAACTTTCCTTCTCTGAATCACAAGAATTGGCTCCATTTCGCATAGCAAATGCAACGGACTGGGAACGGAGGATTCCGGCACTCAGGTCCCTGATGACTGGGAAAATACATTGTGGGGGCTAAAAAACGATTGTTGATCATATCCAAGTCATATCCCCAATGAAAAATCTGTTGCAGTTGAAATGTTGTAACTTGAGTCCTTTTACATTCTTCTTGCACGCCTGGAATGCCTAGGTCGAAATTTCCAACGACAAACTGTTCAGGTACTTGGACCGGCTTGAAGTGCAGACGGCATGTTTGGCGGCAATTGTGAGAGCTGTGAGAGCTGTGAGGCCCCAGCCTAACGCCTTGGCATGTCGCCAGGAAGAGCTGGACCTGCAGTTGGAAGCCTTGGACATGCGCCTCGTCATTCTGAAGTGAAGTTTTCTTGGAAAAAAGGATCGCAAACTTGTGCAGTCTCAGGTATTCATGTTAGAAGTTGGCATCCCCAATTTCTTCTAGCGCAAAGCTTTGAATGTGTTTCAATCACCAACCATTCATGTTTTCAGAGGAAGTGCAAATGGAGTCAAACAGATCCGCAGGAGGTATAGCCGCTTTAGCTTGAATAATAAGAGCCAATCTCTTTGAAGTTGATTCCAACTCCATGGCAAGTCGTGAGGTTTGCATGTTTGACGTAAAACATCCGTTGCGAGCTTTCAGGCCAATGAAGGAAACAAGATCAGTCCAAAGCTGCAGAACATGTTTTTTAAATATGAAAAGTGACGTGCAATTCTTTTTCAATGGAAATTTTGACCTTTGAAAGTCGAACTCTTTAAAGGCAGACCAATCTGAAAGTGTAACTCGCCTCGATGACCTTCTTGAATAAATACAAAACATTTTAAACATAAATTGAAGGGCCGTATACAAGATTCACATGAAATCAGCTGAGAAGCCCCACGAGCCTCATGTGCTGTGAATTGGTTCTCCACTGAGCTGCAATGCAGGAGAGTCATGCCATGACTTGTTTTGCTGTATTCAGATAGGGGTTGTATGCCAGCATGGTGGGTATCTCAAAGCGGCCATTTAACGGGGAACTTGCCAATCCACACCACTGGATTTTGGTACCGGTCACACAACTTCATGCCCTGCCACCGCCCTGCCAGTACCTAATCGCGCTGGGTGGCTTGGTGGTGCTCGCCGGGATCCTAGATTCTTAAAAATGGTTTTCTCGGTTTGTCACTCCTGTGTTGTTTTTCTTTCATTGTTTCCTGAGTTGTCCCTGTCTTCGTTTTTTGACTTTGTTTCTCAGGGCGTTGGGGATGACTTTGCAAGGGTTGTGAAGAAGGCCAATAGGAAACTTTCAAAACAAACACCCAAAACAACGCAAAATAAGTCAAAATAGTATGGATCTATTCTTTGAACATTCTGTTTATGCTCGTAGCAAGTAGATTCAATACCTCATGTCATAGACGGTGACAGCAACCATCCCAGCCATCAAAAGTACAGTGGCCAAAAACCGTTTGAAAAATAGGGCCAAGCATCCCATGGATTTTGAATCTTGTAAGGTTCGAAACACTTTCACGCATGGTTACAACATGTTAGAACTCAGAATAATCCCATTTTTGGTATGGTTTCTTTACTACAAACAACCCCAAAAGTCGATCTCAACAAGCCCTTGATGTCCCAGGTGTCGGCCATCTTGGCGGCCATGGGCTTTCATGGCCGGCCGCAGGTGAAACCGAAACTATCGAAACTTCCAATGTGGGATGGTATGGGTATATTAATAAACATATATAAACATAATATGTTAATAACCCATAGGATCCATGGTGCTGGTATATATGCTAACATTGGGGGTATATTGATGGTAAATGTTACCATATGTACCATACATGGATCCTATGGGTAATAAGAATTAATAAACATAGGTATCATATTACTAGGTATTGCTTAGTAATTATGGTATCCATATATAGTCTTATTCTTTTCAAAACGTAATTGATACTAGTAGTAATAATGATAACCAAAACAATGATGATAACAACAAATAGCATTTTAGAGACTATTTATATATATATGCATCATGTAGCACTAGTCTTGTCCCTTTGTGCACTCTCAAAGAACCTAAGATGTATTGAAAACACTGGCTACATTTTGATGTTTTCTGTAGCACTATTTAGCACTATAAGATAGAATATCCCATAGGATCCATGGTGCTGGTATATATGCTAACAAAAAGGGGGTATATTGATGGGATCCATGTTACCATATATACCAGCACCATGGATCCTATGGGTATATGGGACATACCATTCTATATGATCTTTTCTACACATCCTATCCCATCCTTCTCCATACTTCTCCATCGGCCCAAATGCAGGTCGTTGGCATCGACTTGGGCACCACCTTTTCGGTGGTGGCGTTGAAAGCAACGGATGGCGTGGAGCCGACCTTCTTAGAAGTCCCAACAAGACTTGGGGTTGGTTTCAGTGGCTTAGTTTACCTTTGGTTTACCTTGGTTTACCTTGGTTTATCTTGGTTTATCTTTGGACCTGGCAAGGAAAGAAAGAGACACCGATCCTCACTGAATTCTGCTGCCAGACCGTCTCGATTATTCCGGACCATGTCACTGGCAAGCAGCTATTACCGTGTTCACCTCAGCAGAGAAACTGACGCAGTTCTCGGCGCAGTTGCTACTGGGTTTTAGGCATTTGATCCAAATGTTCACCAGTTTTACATATGGGAGTTGTATGGAGTACCCAACGATATTCACCATCTATACAGTGGCTATAAATCGGAAGGCAACTCGTGAAGGCCTGAGCGGCTCATTGAGAGGTCAGTGGTGACCTACAAGTCGGACGGCAAAGTGCTGGTTGGTGATGTGGCGGTAGCTCAAAGAGGATCCCTTCCTTGTCATCGCTGGATGAAATGTGTTGGTTCACATCCATTCCTTGGTTGGAAAAAAACCACCGGATTAGGAAAGATTTGTTTCGCGCATCAATCAATCATAATCTATTGTCTGTTTAGTTCATTTTTCTTTGTTAAAGATAATATGGAATAACAATAACATACAGCAACCATATCCTCCATTGGCTTCACGTTGAGAGGACGCTCTCCGGAGCGAACCATCTTCAACGCCAAGCGCTTCATTGGTCGGGAACTGGGAGAGGTGCCGGAACTTTCACTCCCGTGGAAGTTGCTGTTCCAGTCGGGATTTTCAATGAGAATATTGAACAGTGGTATGCCATTGGGATTTTCAGTCAACATCTGTGACTTCCATTGGTTTTTTGTGTTTTGAAATGACACCCAGGGATTTTCCGTAGCAGACCCGGGAGACCTGAACATCGGCCAGGTATCGCAGGAAAGTGCAGAGCATGCGTACCGAGTGGCTTGGCCAAGCCGCTGCGTATTTTTTTGCGTTCATTTGGGGCGACCTGGGCATGGAGTAGCGCTTAATGGACCCACAATGCACCCACAATCTTGGTGCTCCTTGTAGTCATCATTTTTAGACATTTTTAGACTCCAGTTTCTTCACGCCAGGGTCGTAGATCTTGGGAAGTCTGGCAGATGCAACCCCAATCAGATGGGATTTGAGCGGAGCAGGGCCGAGCCTCTCCATCTTTGTAAAGCCAAGACCAATAAACAGGTGGAATGCACACGACGAGGGAGATAACCACACATAATAAGGATATAACATGATATAACCACTAAGGATACGACACAACCAATCAATTTGGTAAATCATATTTTTTAATCTGGCCTTTGAGTCGTGCTCGTGCCGTGCATGCACACAGCAATATATATGATTGATATATACCAGTATACAAGATAGTCTCAACAACACAAAACGTCAGGGTCAAGGTCAAGACAGGTCGAGTTTGGCAATGTTTGGCACAGAGACGGCGAAACCGCTTGTTTCAGGAGGCGCGCACGGTACCAGGTTTAATATATAGGTTTGAATCCCAACCGATGGTGTTTCCCGTGTGTCCCAACAGAACCGCCATGGCTGACCTTGCCGCTCCGTCACTTCCAGGTGGTTGGAAATTTCACTGAAAACTCCAGGGAACCCAACGCCTCCAGCCTTGCTTCTCCGGTCACTTAGCTGAAGCTCAGCTTTGCTGAGAGGGGAAACCAGCCTGAAAAAAATTGACGTCTGATCATGTTTTATCATCATTTTCCCGCAAAAAAAAAACATGAGCATTTGGGGGCATCCCCATTTTCAGACACCCAAAGACGGCACTAAAACATACTAAAACCACAAGCGGACCTGATCCTTGGATCGTAACGGCTACCAGGCTGGATTTGCCATTGAGCTCGACGGCAAGAAAGAGAGGTGGGTCTCACCGATTGATGTAGGAGCAGAAGTAGTGTGAACCTCAGCCAGTTGGGGATGGGTCGTTTGTTACCTATGAATTTACCATATGACTGAGGGAATAAGATGGAATAAGCATCCATTAACCAGCCATTTTAGGGTACGGTTTGGATCCCCGGGTTCTCCCATGGTGCCATATATGGTGCCTCCCATGGTGCCATATCGTGCCTGTGTTGAGGTGGCGCACATGCGACGTTCTGTCACGCAACATCTCGGAGACATCCTCAGCATCCGGAGATTCTTGGAGCCAAACAGCGAACTTCTCCGGCGCCCCGAAACCGCGTTCCGCGCAGCAGGTTTCGAGATCTCACGAGCCGTCATTTGCGAGCAGTCCTCAGCATCCAACACTGGAAAGGTGGGCATTAGGTGGGCATTTTCCACACTTGGAAGGTGCAGTTTTTTCGCAGTTCAAGCTTCACCCGAGGTCCCAGCAAAATTTGGCTTTCCAGAAACGAAGGTGGCAGCACCATTATGGCAGCCATGGAAATCATGGAAGATCCGGATCTCAAAATCGTGGCAGCCAGGCCACCCAAGAGGCCTTCGAACGAGCTGGCATGAAAGTCATGCGAATTTTGGAGGAACCCACGGCCGCAGCGATTGCCTACAATCTCCACAAAGGTGCCAAAAAGGGGCTGTGACATGGCCATGGCATGGCTCAAAACGATTCCAAAAACGGGATGGGTTAAATCGGTTAAAAATGATATGTCATATTAAATAATTTCAATACACATCAAGAATGGTGACCTACGTAATTTTCCTGAAGAATGCCATCAAAAAATGACCAGGCTTTGGGTTTTGATGGAAAAGACCTTGGGATTTTGGTGGTCATTCCACTGATTTCATATCGAGGTGAAGGAGTGAGACATGCCAGCCTCTCAGATCTCAAGCCGGGGGGTTCTTAAAATGGTGGCTGCCCCAGATCATCCAACATGACAAATATATTGTTGAACGGTTAATGAAACCTATGGTGACTTGAGGGATGTTTTTTTTGGGATCCCCAATTTTTAAGAAACCAGCAATATATAACCCACATTGGGATATATTTCCAATGGATATTTCAAAGTATCTTTGGGATTAATCCTATCCTCCAATCATATTCAATACCCCCAATCACCCCTCTTCAGGGTCCCCAATTCATGGACGATATCAGGGAGATTGTCCGAAAATGGGGGATGGGCCCTCGAGTTGTGAACCACATGATGACCAACTTTAAAACAATAAATGCACATGGCAGAATCTAGATCTAAACATAGACAAACTTTTAGACCTGATACCTTGTCAAATGTCTGAGCCATATTTTCACATCCTTTTCTCAGATGAGAACGGAGCTGAAGGTTCTCGTCTACGACATTGGTGGGGGTACGTTGGACACATCCTTGCTGTATATGAATGGCAATGCTGCAACCAGGCCGCAAGAGGACAAACATGGGCTCCCGATTTCTCATCAAACTTGGCATTCAATGGAGAGCGGATGAGGTTTGAGAAGAGAATCATAGATCATAAATCATATTAAATCATAATAAAATTTGGAAAATCCCATAATCTCCCTGGGATTTTCCAAATTTTCCATGGGACTTTCCCATGGGGTGTTGAATGGGACCCTGAGGTGAGCGTCCTGAGTGTGGCTGGAGACGACCACCTCGGAGGGTCCGACTTTGATATTCAGCGGCCTGGAGGAAATGTCGAAATCGTCCATTTCTTTTCAGGAGAAAATGAGAAAATCGTGCAGAATCCTGCAGAAATTATACTAAATAATTATATAATACTATACTATATTTGATCAGCATTTTCTCCACCTTTTTCGGCACTTAGAATGATTTAGAGTGACTTAGATCCAAAGAACTTTGAGAAGTAGAACTCTGTTTTATGGAACATCAGTCTTTTGAGTTTTTCAGAGCCGAGGATGCGACGGCTACTCGAGTCGAAATTAGTCAGAGGCCTAGTTGAGCGATGCCTTGACTCCCCAGATAGTCATTGAATAACCCATGGGGAGTCTATCCCATTTGATGAACCATGGGAAAATGATGATGAGCCATGGGATGGAACGTTTTTTTTGCGCTGAGATAAAAGCCATGTTTGTTTCTGGCCATTGGCGGAGGAACGTGGTGATGTACAAATCGCGGACTCGGAAACTGCAAAGGCGCGGATCAGGGAATTTTTCCCATCTTACTTAACAGATCTTAACAGACTTAACACCAATAAATACTCTATGCCCAAACACATGGAAGGCTCTTCGGGTGACATAGCACAGTGGTTGTTTCGGCAGGAAAGCTGCGAAAGCTCTGGCCTTCACATCCTGGCAGAGGATGCCAAGATCCGCTTAAGCAGCGAGCAAAAAGTGGAGACGAGATGTCGGAAGCTCAGCTGCAGCAGCTGCAGCAGCTGCAGCTGGAGATAGCTGCTGTTTATGTGCATCAGAAGCTGGTAAGGTCGTGCATCAGATGGAAAAGATCGGATTTTTGCAGCGGACTTGGGAATGGCAATTTCAGGCAAAACGACAGGTGCAGTTGCGAAGTGTAAATGCATATGCCAGTGTGACAATGGATTTTGTTCAGCGTCAACTGCCATCATCCGGTACCACGATCCTTGTCGGGATAATTCTCATCCTTGTCATCCAATGTCATCCACCTCTCCCTACGATCCAAGCGCGGCTTGGTGTTTTTCATCATCCGCAACTGAGGCCATTGGCCGCCAGGAGTTTGAGGATGCTTCCTCCGAACTCTTTAGTCGCGCCATGGCTCCTGTCCAAAAGGCTGGCTGAAACACCTGGGTCGACGGTGATTTTTTGGCCCTCCAACTGCTCCAACTGCTCCGTATAAAGATGGGATAATCATGGGATAAAGTGGGGAGAATGAGATATTGATCCATGGGAATTGGGAGTAAGCATGAGCAAGCTATTTTCACACGAACTGACAAATATAGCAATGCAGGTCCTAGATGATCAGATGATGACCACGGACTACATCAACGACGTGGTGCTTGTTGGTGGTGCGTGGGGAGCCACAACGGGATCTTGACAACAGCAATGTTGTGCAATGGAACATATTTGATGTTGACAATGTGGTAGTGGAATGTTGATCAACAATTTTCAAAAATTTTCACAACCCCAAATCGATTTAGACCTCCAATGGTAGGGGAGTTTTTAGATCCCGTTTAGACCACCATTCTGGAATTTTCTGCAACGCATTATCCATCATTATCCCCCCTTTTGGTGCCACTGGATTTTCTGACCCAACCTTTGCGACTCGCAACCCATCATAATCCCATGGTGATCCCATCATCATTCCATCACCCATCCCCTGTTCGCAAGGTCACGCACACCCAAGTTGCGAGAGCTGTTGCAAGACTTCTTTGGGCCATGCTCTCGGGCGGCCGTTATTCAAGCCGGGCCGGCTGGAATCCATGGATTTGGCGGGATGTGTTCAGTGTGCTCAGTGTGTTCAGACTTTGTTTTGATTGATTCTGATATATTCAATATATTTACATATGACATTATATATATATATAATTATATGAATATAGACATTAAATAAATATGTGATACAATATATACAATGTGATACATTATATCTATATCTATATCTATATCTATATCTATATCTATATCTATACTGATATATCAGGATGTTATTTTCACATCTGTGTTTTGGCAAAGTTAGGTCCTCCAAGCGTCTCCACACGGAGATCGATCCGGACATCACCGTGGCTTGGGGCCTCTCGGATCTTGATGGATCTTGAAGCCTTGGATGGCCTTGGATCACCATAGGCTTTCTCCTATGTATTAAACTACCCTCTGGTAAACTAACATAGCTATTGAAAATGGCCATAGAAATAGTGAATTTTCCCATTCAAGATGATGATTTTCCATAGCTATGTTAGTTTACCAGAGGGTATAGTTAATGGTGGATTCTAAATGGATTCTAAATGGATTATCAATGGTTAATCAATGGTTCATCAATGGTTAATCCATTAGAACTCTGGATATCTCCTATGTTAATGGTGGATAATGGTGGATTTATAGTTAATGATGGATAATCAATAATGAGGTTAATGATGGTGAATGATGGTGAATGATGGTTTATTCATGGATAAACTATGGTTAATGATGTTTTTTTTAATGGATAAACTATGGTCAATGGTGGAGAATGGTGGATTATCAATGGTTAATGGTGGGTATCCACTATGTGAAATATCATGTGGGTAACACAATGCCATTAATGAATGGTTAATGATGGTTAATGGTTAATCATGGTGGATAATCAATGGTTAATCAATGTTTGATAATAATCAATGGTAAATCAATGGTTAATCAATATAATGTGGGTAAACAATAAGAATCAATGGGATATAATGGGCTTATACAATGGGATATACATTGTATAACCATTAATGTGGGTAAAACAATAATTAAGGGTTAATGGTGGATAATCAGTGGTTAATGATTGTGGTCATGGCATCAATTATAGTAATGTGGGTAAAACAATGCTATAAACCACCCCTGACTGGGAATGGTTAACATATATGTTAACATACCATCTATAAAAATGGTGATGACTGGGGGATGATGCAAATGGCATTGTTTTGCCCATATCATTATGAATGTCATGTTATCTTATTACTTTGATGGCCATGATAATCACTATGAAGAAACTTGCTAAGGGTTTCAATTATTTTCAAAGAAACTCTTGTGTCATGTAGAAAGGGCAGAAAACTTTGTGTTACCTTTGTGTTTCTGCTTTTGTCAAGGTGCAGCCAGCGTGCTTGATTAGTGAAGCCGATGGGCTTCACGATGTTAATGAACCAGGGCACTTGCGACGGCTTAGGGCTTCGCAAGGCCCTTCTTAGCCGCCAGCTGTACAGTGAGGCACAGCCATCCATGGCCCATGGCTATCCATGGCACTCCGCTATGCTTGGCAAGAACTTGGAGCCCAAGGCACATGGCATGCTATGCCAGTCCTTGAAAAAACTCTGGCTGCGAGGCCACAGAAGAAAAAATCGCGAGGGCGATGTGGTCACAAAACTTGGATCATCCCGGCAATTTTGGGGCTCTGCAGCTGGTTTCTTAATATTTCTCAATCCATTCATATCCATTCTGATTTTCAAGTCATTCTGGGTCTATGTAGTCGCAGTTTCGAACTTCCCACACCAATCTTACGCAGTCGATATTGGCGTCCCGTGGCCGATTTCATCAACATGGCAGACGTACAGGCAGACGTTGCCCCCCCTTCAGGTGACTCAGAAATACTCAGAATTGAAAGCAGCACATGACGTCAGGATATGTCAGGATTAGAAAACCTCAACAGTTTGAAGATGTTTGAAGCACTAAAGAGTTTAAGTTCAATTATAGTTGTGGAATGTTGTGGATCTGACTTGGCCTGATTTCGAAAGCCAGATTGCAGCCAGATCGACACAAACAAACTGCACCCAGATTTGAAGAATTACAGCTGTAGCAGAACTTCCGGTGTCAACGATTTTCCCTTCAACGTAGAGACAGAGCTCCAGAAACTGCTGGAGTCCAAGGAATCCAGAAGTGCAGAAACTGGACTAGAAACTGGACTGTCAGTCTGTCAGATTGCGTATTCGATCACGTCCCATGTCACGCTATCGGAATCAGGATCTTAAGATTATAATATTGCAGGTACTGGAATTATATATCATAATATATGATTACTGGATATTATTATAATATTATCCATGACCCAGAATCAGCAATCTTATATCAATCAGGTCGTTTTGTGCGATGGCCAATCCGCTCGATTTGCTGGCATGAAGGCCAGGCTGGCTGAAGAGCGATGGCGTTTCAGTTGATGACCTGATGTTAAATGATGTTCAATGGATCATAATGGATCTATAGTTGATAAAACATGAATACGAACTTCGAACATCTTCGAACATATACACGTATATGCTGTTTAAGAACATATTGAAATATATTAACATGATGGACGACTCGAGGAGCCGACTTTCGACAAGTGAACCCGCTCGTTGGAACAATGGATTATGGTTCAACTGTTGGGAAAATCCCAACCAGAAACTATGGACTTTGCAAGATTATATTTTAGATAGGGTTTGGTGTAGATTTCCCTTAAAGTAGATGTAGACCAAGTTTGGGATTGGAACGTGTAAACTGACATTTCTCTGAAAGGTGGAGTTCTCCAGGTGTCTCCAAGAAAGTCTAAGTCTCCTTCCACACCGCGGTTTTTCGCAAGTTGGGTTTCGGCTGAAGCGGAACTCGAAACATCAATGGTATCAATGGGGTCCGCAGCCAAGTGAATGGGAGATCAACAGGCCGTTGAGGAGCTTTGGGATGATTGGGATGATGCGGATTTTGATGACCAGGATGGTGAGCAACTTCCCTGCACCTTGAACTACGCCTTTGTGTGCGTGTGTCTACCTGCATTGAATGGCGCTCTCAATGCTTTCGTTTGGCCAGCGTACACTTTGCACTTCGACCAGCAGGGTTGGTCCCTGGTCACAGCTGGTTTGGCAGTGACCATTGGTTTCATTTTGCGCATGATCCTTGCCTTAACATGCTAAACCCATAGGATCCATGTATGGTATATATGCTAACATAAAGGGGGATAAAGGGGGTATATTGATTGTAAATGTTACCATATATAGCATACATGGATCCTATGGGAAACAACCCTAAACTGATTTTCAACTGGGCGACATGAAACTGACGCAGTCGGACTGGATCTGTTTGGTGGTAGCACCTCAGGACCACGCAGCAAATGCAGCTCTACACTGGCTATTGGCTCATCGTCCCTTTGAATGTCATCCACTTAGCTTTTGCAGTCATAGGCAAGGGAAATTGATGGAATCTATGGTCAGTTTACCATATGTTTCTATATTTTACTTTCTCTCTCTATATGTAATATTACATAATGTGGTTAAAACAATCATAACCAACCCATTTGGGAATGGTTTACACCACCTATTTATGGTGATTTGGGGCATGGTTTATTAGTGTTTTAACCACATTAATATAATATACATATCTTTATATTTTTTACCTCTTTATTTCCCAAATTACAGATGGCTACCTGGGATGTTTTTGGAGCAACTCCTGATAGGCATGCTTTACCCGACCACCGAGTGGGCCGTTTGCGCTCAGATTGTCGCAGTGCAGGGTATCGACCCAACGTGTGCTGTGGAAGGCATAGCTTTTGATACCTTTGGTCAATCAGAAATCCAGGCCAGACAGGCCTCATCGACGGTGCTGTCAGTCTTCACCATTGCGGTTGCACTCAGTTGTACGCTGGGTGGATTCATTTTCGACTTCGCGGGGTGGTTTGGTATTTCAATCTACCACAGCGTTTGTGAAGGCACGCTTCTGCTGATTTTGATCATTCAGCCAGCGTGCAGAAACTCCTTCCGGGAAGTCTTTTTCTCACCGAAGGATGAAGTCTTGGATGAAACTGAAGGGTTAGATGCAGAGAAAGGCTTTGCCACTGTGGTCCCAGCACCAAAAGAAACCACAAAGGAAACCACCAAGGAAACTACCAAGGCAGCCACAAAGGAAGTCAATGAAGCCCCTTCATTGCCCGGTGCTGTTGACGAGCCTGAAGCAGTTGAAGAACCCAGTGCTGCGGCGCCGCCAGCGGATAGCCTTCAGGTGAGCGAACATCGCGAAGAATGGATGGGAAATCATATGCAATTTTTTTCAGGGCTGGAACATGATTATCAACATTCATCAGCCATTTTGTTTCGTCTGTTTTGTTTTCCTGTGATTTTCTCATATTTTCCATATTGATGATGAACATCATTGCAGGAAAATATTGATGATGAACATCATATTTATTTTCTCTGTTTTTTTCCATTTTTTTCCTGTATTTTTTTGGGGGGAGGGCTAAAGTCTTAGACGTCTTGCAGGTCGAGGACATCAAGGACGAAAAGGATGAGAAAACGATCGAACCCGTGGGTGCAGCTTTGGCCCGAAGCAGCGCGGCAGCGCCAACGAGCGAGAAAAACCATACACCAACGTCGCATGGCGCATGGCAAAGCACATGCAGTCGGGTGTCTCTGAAAGGGGATACAGGGATACAGATATATCTGTTATAACAGATATATAACAGATATATAACAGATATATAACAGATATATAATGACAGTGCGGTACCGTGTTTTGAGTCAAAATGAGTCAAACCTACAAGTACCCGTGAGGAAACATTGCAATGTGAAAACCCTTGTACATGGAGGTTTTAATTGGGAGAATCACCTGGCGATGTCAACATGTTTGATATACCTAGAAACACCAGAGGCAGAAAAAAATGCCTCAGGCCCCCGAGGCGAAAAATAACGCCGCATGAGTTTTGTTTTGCCTCTGGTGGTTTAAAAACGCCTCTGGAAAGCAAAAAACGCCTCAAACACAAGAGTTTACCAAAGCCCTAGGACTCCCGCCATGGCGACTTTTCAGTTGCAAAGCCCACAACTAGGGACCAAACCCCTGACAAACAGCCGCACGTACTGCTAAGGAATTCTTATGATTTCCCTATGTAATGAACGCTGCAAGAGAAACAATGCAGAAAACAAGCCCTAGAGTATATACAGTATATACAGTATATATATGTGTTCATAGTTGCACATTTGAAGCGTTGGCTTTCATCGACATTGAATCACTTGGATTGCAGCTTTCAACAAAATTTCACGGCAAAAGAAAACTAGAAGACTCAAAATCCGTGATACAACCTTTTGGGCATGTTTCCGGCAAGATTTGGACCTCCATGTTCAGAGTCCGTCCTTTTCCGCCGTTTTCCCGCCCTTTTCCGCCGTTTTCTGTCCTCTGAATTTTCAGTTTTTCCGTGTTTTCCCTGGTTTACCTTTGTTTTTTCTCATGACAACAATTTTTGTCGTATTCACTTCTGTTGCCTTTTGGAAACATGCTGCAAATGCCAAAAAGCAACAAATTACTTCACTTCGAATGATCCCCACCATGGCATATATAGCTACATACTCCACAGCTCTGGAAAGAAATATCTAAATACGCAACCTGGCCGAAGGACACCAAAGAGCAGCATCATTTTTCCACCGTTGCTGGCAACTGTGTCAGATATACATCTTTCTGACATTCTTTCCGACATTCTATCTGGCACATCTTCTCTCGACCTCCCCATCTATCTCGCATATCTAGCATATCTTCTGACATTCTATCTGGCATATCTTCTGACATTCTATCTGGCATATCTTCTGACATTGTTTCTGGCATTCTTTCTGGCATTCTATCTGGCATATCTTCTGGCATTCTATCTGGCATATCTTCTGGCATTCTATCTGGCATATCTTCTGACATTCTTTCTGACATTCTTTCTGGCATTCTATCTGGGCCCCAATATCTTCTGGCATATCTTCTGGCATATCTTCTGGCATTCTATCTGGCAAATCTTCTGGCATTCTATCTGGCATATCTTCTGGCATTCTCTCTGACATATCTTCTGGCATTCTATCTGGCATTCTATCTGGCATATCTTCTGGCATATATTCTGACATATCTTCTGGCATTCTATCTGGCATTCTATCTGGCATATCTTCTGGCAAATCTTCTGGCATTCTATCTGGCATATCTTCTGGCATTCTATCTGGCATATCTTCTGGCATTCTATCTGGCATATCTTCTGGCATATCTTCATATCTTCTGGCAAATCTTCTGGCAAATCTTCTGGCATTCTATCTGGCTATCTTCTGGCATTCTATCTGACATATCTTCTGGCATTCGATCCGGGATTCTATCTGGCATATCTTCTGGCATATCTTCTGGCATTCTACCTGGCATATCTTCTGGCAGATGTTCTGGCATATCTTCTGGCATATCTTCTGGCATTCTATCTGGCATATCTTCTGGCATATTATCTGGCAAATCTTCTGGCATCCTATCTGGCATATTTCTTCTGGCATTCTATCTGGCATATCTTTCTGCATTCTATCTGGCATTCTCTGACACATTCTTTCTGACATTCTTTCTGGCATATCTTCTGGCATTCTATCTGGCATATCTTCTGACATTCTTTCTGACATTCTTTCTGGGATTCTATCTGGCATATCTTCTGGCATTCTATCTGGCATATCTTCTGGCATTCTATTCTTTGACATTCTTTCTGACATTCTTTCTGACATTCTTTCTGGCATTCTATCTGGCATTCTATCTGGCATTCTATCTGGCCGTTGAGGTCCGGCAGTGCCCACTGGGATCTGGAGCTCGTGCCCACTGCGATCTGGAGCTCGCGGTGGAGGTCCGGTGGAGGTCCGGCTGTGCCCGTGCCCACTGGGATCTGGACTGCGAGGAGGAGGACGAGGAGGAGATGGAGGAGGAGGCGGAGGAGGAGGAGAACAGCTCTGATAAAATCTAACAACCCTCACCTGGCAGGTGGGGAACAAGTCCAGTGAGACAGCATTTTGTGGGCAATGACAGTCTCGCTGACAGATTTTAGCCACGCAGCAGCTACGCCCCCAGTTTTAAGTGATTTACACTATTGAGGTTTGGAATTGGATTTAGCCAAGGCTTTGCGTTCGCAGGTATTGAAATCAAAGAAATGTCCGCTGTCATATACCCATCCCAGAACAATCTAGAGCAGAGAAAAGGGAAAAACAGTGAAAAACAAGGATTACAACAAAAACGCCTCAGAAAACAAAAAATGCCTCAGCAAAGCAAAAATGCCTCAGATCAACTGGAGGCGCCGCAGACCCTCCGAGGCGTTTTTTTTTGCCGTTTGGTTTTTCCAGGTATTATGTACATCACATACCAATCAAAGTATATTATACTGTATATACAATATACTGTATATTGATGTCAATATGATATTTATATATATATATATATTATATATATATATATTAATTCGTCTTAAGTCATGTTTTCGCTTCATAGTTCAACCCCAGCACCCCAGCACACGCCTCAGGTCCGCCCGCACCTCGGAGGGCCCGCCGCGCAGCTCGCAGGCGCTACGCGGCAGCCAGGCGT